AACAAAAAACCAAAAACCAAAAAAACAAAACAGAGGTAGGCTGTGTTTGCCAGAGATAGATGGAGTGACAGAGAGAGAGAGGAAGAGGAAGAGGAAGAAAGCATGCCTCTATGGGGTGTGGTCATGCTGAACTCTCTTCTCTTCCATTTCTCCATCCTATAAGGATTTTGGGAAAGCATGTATGTGTGTCTGGCATGTATTTCAAGCCTCCAGTGCTGGGCTTTGGACAGCACAGTTGGCCATGTGGGATCTGGTTCCCTAACCACTATGCAATGGGGCCAGCCTGATGCTCTGTCAATTTTTAAACCCTATGTGCATCACTTCAGGCAGCATGCTCCATGCTCCAAGCGTTGTGAGGTTCTATAGCACCACCTTAAAAGGCAGGCATTCACTTTCCGTCTTCCCTGTGTCCATCCTGCTTCCAGTTGCTACCCTGCTGCCTGCAGCCAGTTCCCTAAGTTTGCACCCAACTGCCATCCCAGTGGGGACAGCCAGGAAGCTCTGACAATGCCACTAAGGACAATGGTGGCTAGCCATCTTATGGACCCAGAAGACAGCAATGGGTAGGCCTTTAACTGTTGACCTGAGCCTTGGTGGCCTGGTACGCCATAGTCATCCTTGCATTTATACTGCAAATTGTGTTACTGTTTGGATCATGCACCCTCCCTCCACCCTCTGTCAGGGAAGGGCAGGGCACCATGCTGAGTCGTTCTTTCAAAATATCCACAAAGGAAAATAGAGAAGAACTAACCGAACTGGGCTGGGGACAGAAAACATGGTGGCCATACTAGAATTCTGCTAAGTGTAAGGCTGGAGGAACATGTTTCTAACTTAGGAGGCAAGCCTTATGCCTATTTCTGCTTCTACTTCTACCTCTTCCACAAATGCTGTTTCCCCTGCCAGCATTTGGAAATCTGTGCCTGCTCCTTGGTATCTGTGAGTGGTTTCTCCAATTGTCTATGTTAAGCAGTTGTTTAGAGAGGGAGTGTTTCTGGCTTCATGGGTGTCTAATTCTTGTTTGTAAACTATACATTAATGTACAAAGTAGTGTTTTTTCCTCAAATGCAGCTCTTTAATTTCAAGAAAAAAAGCAGAATTCTATGTAACAAAGGAAAAAAGTCTTAATTGTATTCATAATTGTATGTTATTTTGACTCCTCCAGTGGTTATACCACCACTTCTCTATGGTAAGCTTTGATTTTCAAAAGTACATTCCCATAGTCCTCTTTGTATAGCATCCCACCTGTGAGCTACTTATCGGCACGTTTGAAAGAGCATGCTACTGTTGTGTTTGTTCTTCATGGGTAAGTTAGAAATAATTATATGGTTTCAGGTTCTCTTATGACATTTGAATGGGTTTTTAAAAATATACACATGTGGGTTCTGGAGACTTTGAAAACTCTGGCCCTGCGTTCACAGTTAAGAGAATCCCTCAGTTTCTGGTTCAATGTGGTCAGCTGAGCTCCCTGCTCTCCCTAAATCTTATTGAAATGGCAGAAAGGATTTAAGAAACGAGATGCAATCACAAGAGCATTACAAATCAGAAATTTTGAGAGGTCCTCAAAGACAAGAAGTAAATGGGATTGAATGATGGAGAAAACCAGCAGCGAGAAAACTTAAACTCCTTTTTGGAGTGGATGTGGGTGTGCAGAGGCAAGATTATCCTTGCTCATTGACTCTGGAGCACAACTAAGCTCAGAGGCTACACATTCACCATGTTAATGATGGCTGGTGGATTGTGAGAGATATGTGCAATGTATAAATGAAAGAATTCACATGTAGAGATGGAAAGAACTTTTAAAAGAAACAGCGAAAATGCCCAGTAGAGGATGGGCAGGGGTAAGACACTGTTATAGCAGTAAAGCGCAACTCTCCGTAAGGCTGACCCACATGGCAAGGTCACCAGTCCGAGTCCAGAGACCTCCCTGAGTACACTGGGCACATGTGTGTCCATAACTGGTTGAGGGGAGGGGTGGAGATCGTAGCACCCTGTTGGGGGTGCTATCTCTCAGTCTCTGTAGCTCAAGGAGGAAATAAAAAAATAAGAAAAGGAATGGCTACTAATAGAAAATCACAGAAAAAGGAAGAAACAAAGTTAAAAAAAATCCCCACTTAACTAGTAATCAGAAAATTGCAAATTAAAACTAAGCTGAGATATAATTTCTCACCAAATAAATGTATTAATCAGGATACTCACAAATTGGAAGCAGTAAGATATGTGTGTGTGTGTGTGTGTGTGTGTGTTTATGTATTTAATGGTTGTGCAAAGGCTGGCAGGGCCTTGCCTTGCTGGTGTGCCTTTGCCTGGCTCTGTCATTCAGTCAGAGGTCACTGTTCCTCTCATGGCAGCCCTAGTCACACAACCCTCTCTTTCTGAGTCCCGTAACTTCTCCCTTTCTTGAGCCTTCAGACTAAGGAGTGGTATCAATTCCTCCTCTGAGAAACTCCTCTTGAGATTTCCCTATATCTTATCTTCCTGTTTGTAAACAGTGCCTTTATTTATTTTTTTAATTTAAGTTTTCTGTATTCATGATAAAGTTCATAGATGATAGAGCTCAGATGAGAGAGCTAGAAAGAAAGGAAGAGCTGTTTTTTCATGCTAGTCTGCCTGATAACAAGAAGTATTATTTGAAGAAGTCTGTCAGTACCGCAACCTTGCAGAAGACCACTGCAACCTAACCTAAGGACTGCTTCTGTGAAAACATCTGCCCAGAGATTGACTGCTCAAACTTGGACCGATGCTGCTCTTGTAGCCAATCCTGGTAGCCAAAGATAATTGTTCTGAAACAACTGGTATAATCCCTTCTTCCCCACATCCTCCCACTGCAGTTTTCACCTTTATTTTTATTTATTTAATTTTAAATATTTTGCTGTTGAGTGTGTGCACTCACTGGAGAGAGAACAGACAGACAGAGGGAGAGTGATAAAGTAGTCTCCAGGGGGGATGACTACATTGCAATCCCTTCTCCATCTCTCAGGATTTCAGGCACACATGCATGATGACTACATTGCAATCCCTTCTCCTCCATCTCTCAGGATTTCAGGCACACATACACACTCACCAGCATGTTTCTCAAGCTGCTGAGTCTAGGACTCGAACCACATAGTCATCCATGTGGGATCAGGTGCTTTAACCACCATATCGCCAGCTGGTTTCCACCTCTAAAACTTGCTCGAGGACCTGGGTGCACATGTGTGGGACAACCTGAGTATGTTTACCTGGGCTGCATGCTGTACTGCAGTCCTCAGACTTGGCCAGAGTAAACTCATTTTGCTTTACATACTTTGACTCAGTAATTGACTTCTTAGATTGACAGTTCAAACCTCTAAATGAAGATTTGTAGGTCCTATACTATCTGGTCTCTGCTCCCATCATGGCTTATTACACCCCGTCTTGCACAGTCCGACTCAGCCTCCTGAACTTCTTTATGGTCTCCAACTTTCTGTGCTTTGTCTTACCTATGGACCTCATCTAACTTGCAACCAAAGTGCCAAGGCTAAGGAGACAGTGCTAAGGATTGTCTGTGTCCCACACACAACAGCCTCTTGCCACTCAGGCATGCTGTTTTGATTTTGAAATCATGTAGAGCATCTTCTAAAGTAGAGCTGCCGTTCATAGCCCACATGAGATCCTGGCTCCCAAAACAGTCATCTGGGGTGACCTCATACCTGACACCCAGGTTAGAACACTGAACAGAATGTCTTTAAGAAAGCGAGGAGGGTCTCTAGTCCTGTGCTGTTCAATACAGCAGCCACTAGTTGCACGTGGGCACTGAACGCTTGCAACGTGGCTAGTGTAATTTAAGATATGCTGTAGATGTAAGATACACACCAGATTTTGAAGACTTAGAATGAAAAAAGAAAAAGGATATATAAAATATCTCAATAATTTTTATATTGATGACATGTTGAAATGATAATATTTAGAGATGTTGCGTTAAATAAAATATGTTGTTAAATTATTTCCATCTTTTTTTTTGTTTTTTAATTTCTTCAGGTGGCTACTAGAAAGTTTTGCAGTGATGTTTGTGTTGTGTTGCTCTAGAGCTTGTAGCTCCTCAGTTCTCCAGGTATGGTCTGTGGACCAGAACAATCAGCATGGCCTCTGAGCTCTTAGGAGTGCAAATCGCAGGCTCTGTCCTGGACCT